CGTGGTCTTGTGGTAGAGCGTCCGCCCGGAGAGCGGAAGGTCCAGGGTTCGATCCCGGGCCGCGTCATACAAAAAGACGTTAAAAGATTGTACTTGTTGTTACCCTGTCTGGCGCTCGGCATTAAGGGGCTAAAACAAGGACTGGTCGGCTCGGAGTCAGTATACTGTGTCTGAGTGGGGTATTCATGTTAAACTGCGGCATGGTATCTCAGTGAGCTAGCACTATAAATCGGCATCAGTCCGGACTAGTACAAGCAGCCACACACACACATACACGTGCATGCACGTCGCTATATAAGTGCAATAATCTTGGACGCGACGTTAAACCCAATTTCACCTCACCTCACCTCAAGTATTCATTCATAAACAACAAACAAACAAACAAACATTACCTTCTCTCTTAGTAGCAATACCCGTGCTTGTGGCTTTCATCAAAGTGGTAAGTGTATGAGGCCTGCATCACTTCGGGCTTTCCTCCCACATTAAGCTGACACGCCGCGATATACCTGGAATACTGTTAAAAGTGGCATCAAACCCAACTCACTCACTCCCTAGCAGCCCATAAAATAGGAATACCCCTGAAAAACTAATTGCAAGATCGACACAGGTGTCTTATTCATGTCAATACAGCACTGCTATAAGTTAATCATTTTATCAGGATAAGGGTCAGATAAGCTATGAACAAACACATTCTTATGAAGAGATAAGAGGTGTCAGTGTTGAAATAGACACATCTATTGTTGGGAAGCCGCTGCCTCAAATTGACATATATTTGATATGGACATAGTCAGTAACATCAGGGGAACATCGACATAGATGTTGAAAGGGGTCGTGAAAAACAAGCCTGCATGTGAGATGGGGGGAGAAGTTGTTTGTTTTGAGAAGTAGGGCACACATATTGTATTAAAACATGGTTTATGTGTTTCTTTGAAATTCGCATGAGGTTGCAGGTGTTTATCTTGATATGCTCCACATGTTCTATAGGAATATACACAAGGATTTATAGGTCCTTCTCACCTTGTTCGTACTTTGAAATTTCGCTCGTCACGCTATAGACCCGGGTTCGATTCCCGACATGGGTACAATGTGTGAAGCCCATTTCTGGTGTCCCCCGCCGTGATATTGCTGGAATATTGCTAAAAGCGGCGTAAAACCATATTCACTCACTCACTCACGTACTTTGAAATACAAATAGGTCAAGTCACTATGTGTATATATCTATGTAAGGAAATCCATTTTGAGAGAAGTGCAAAGTGTCAAAGTGCAAATGTCAAATCAGGCTAAAAATTTAAGATTAATAGCACTTAGATCAGATCCATAATGCAATTTCATTAAAAATATGCGGAACTATGTTGAATTATTATCCATAATAAATTCTGTTAACAGAAATTAGTTACACACATGAGGTTACAACCAGGGGTCCGGAAACCGTCATATGCGCTGGACATGTCCGATTGGGAATCTCAAATGTCTGGTATAAAATATTGCTTACCGGACATTTAAATTTTTCTGTCCGGACATTTTAAAAAGTATTGTCCGGACATTCTTAAATTTTGACCGGACGTGATCAACAGTTAGGACTGAGCAGTTTCTGTCTGCAGTTGTAACACAAGATTATCTACACTGACAAGCTTTGTTTGTTTTGATTGCTGTAAATACCTTGTACCTACATGATAGTCCAATCGGTCAATCACTGTAATAGGCAATAAACTAAAGTTGTTGACGTAAAATGGACTGCAGTCTATGAACTCAGCGGGACCTTGATTTTTTAAGTTATACCAGATATACCTTTGTTGATAATCCTGTCTCTTTATATGTACACACAACATTGATAACACTGTATGTACTTTCTTTCTCAGGATGGCATAGTGCCCTCCATACGTTTCAGTATAAGCTTATAGAATAAGACTTTCCAGTCAGAACTAAATGTGTCTAATAGAAGTGCAGATCATTCAACAGAATGTATAGGCAGTGATAGAATAGTGCACAGACAATTTTTGAAAGTCCCTGCATGCTTTGGACTAAAGTATCACTCAACAGTGTGGATGTGGGATCAATAAGTAGCAATGGCCTTTGCACGTTGAAAAGTTAGTTTACTTTCAGTGGGTAATTCATTGTTACCCTTGTCTTTATTATACATGTTTGTATAACATGTGCATTGACAGCAACTGTACATTATTAGATGACTATTTATAGCCATGATGTTGTTGGTAACAACCAAGGGAAACAGCCAGGGTTGTGTTCTTTATCAGGGATGATTCTTGTTATTGTCATAATAATTGTTTCTCTCTGAATATTTTTGCTTTTGGCAATTTATTAGATGATTGAAATATAATGCAGCAACTGCATGCTAGTGATTTACCAGAGTTCATCCAGATTTGGAAAAAAAGTTATTAGAAAATTGAAAGCATCCAGACTTATGATTGGTCACAGAAACTTGTGAGTTTAGTTTTTATTAAAATGAGGACAAGTGGTCCATGAGTCCAAGACTGGTAACAATCTAGAAGGATAGTTGTTTTATTCCCATATCTAGTTATTTATACAAGGATGTGTCCGAAATCAGCTGCGGACTAGTTGGATATGACAGCACTTAGGCATGGTGTTGGTGACCTGGTATCATTGCTGTTAATCTGTTGATGGCTCTCGCATGGACAATATAAGCATTGGCAACCATTCGTGCAGTCTGGCCAGCATGCAGTCGTCTTAAAGCCTGTTTTCTCTGATTCTTCGTAAATTTTGATTTTCATGGAAAGCATTCGGAACTTTGTACCTTGGTTGTTTAAGCTGCGTTTTGGCAACCCATTACACTTATATTTGTGTCCCTTTTTTGCTGTTAACATTAAATTTGGTTACAGACTGCTGTCAAAAACGCAGTACCTCCCCAAAAAGCAGTGATATTTCAATGGGAATTTTTCATGAATTATTTTCATAAAGTGACATTTCTTTTGCAGTTCAGTATATTAAGTAAACATGATATTAAACACAATGTTATTACACAAACTGCTGATGTGTAACTGTATGATACTGCTGAAGAAAAACACAGTCATGCCATTCAAGAATCATCTGTCCATTGACTATATATGTGTCTCCATGCACCAGGAACCAGATGAAAGAGACTCACAAAGCAAGACTTGATACAAGCCCTCAGGGAATGTGTCTCAGTGATATCTCATTTATACTGCTGTCGTGTGATATAGTGAGACATATCCATTTTACCATCACCTTAAACAAACCATGTCCCTTCTAAAAAGGAAAAGGCATTAGCTAGAGTGGACAGGATTGGACAGGCAACAAACAGGATTGTCTGTGTGTCTGCTTCTGGTAGATTGATATAGACACATGGATGGATTGTTTTGTGTTTGTTTGTTGTTTAGAGCCGCACTCAGCTGTACGACGACGGTGCGTAGTACGTAAAAAACAGTAACATTGTAGTCGATGATGCAACCGTTGTAAGAACAATATACGACATATAATAAAATAAAGGTTTATGTCTTAGTCCTGTTAATCGTAGCCATTTTTTAGCGGTTGTAATGTTTGTTTGTTTGTTTGTTTGTTTGTTGTTTGTTGTTTAATGCTACACTTAGATACATTCCAGCTATATGAGGTCTGTAAATAATCAAGTCTAGACCAAACAATCCAGTGATTGACATCATGAGCATCAAACTATGCATTTGGGTTACGATGACATGCATCAACCACGTCAGCGACCACTTGACCCCTCCTACAATAAGCATAGTCGCCTGTTGCGGCAAGCATGGGTTGTTGAAGACCTATTCTCCAGATCTTTACGGGTCTGATTGTTTTGTGAAGAGTATACGTATTGCTGGTTGTGAAGTTGGGCTGTGTTGTTTATTGGACTGTTGTCACTATCAGCTGATATTTACTGGCTTTGAGGTTGGTTGTTGGGATTATGCAATATGTTTTGTTGAGGTGGAAAAATAATTTACTGCAAAGATCAGCTGAAACATAGTTAAGTTTATTTTAGTGAAGCACACATGGGTCAGTGGGTTTGGCATTGCTATTCTCTGTAAAGCTGCATCCCCCATCCCAGGAAAGGGATCATGGGTTTGAATCCCTGATTTCCACCGATAATGATGTTCAGTTTGTTATAACACCATACCCATGCTTGTGGGTTTCACAAATATTGTTAACACTTTCGACTTGTGTCACTTTGGGCGCTCTTCCCAAATTCAGCTGACATGCCGTGATATAACTAAAATATTGTTCAAATCTATGTTGAATTCAACTCATTCTCTCTTATAAAGTTTGACTACATTGGTCTCACTCTCTCACACACACACACACACACACACACACACACACACACACACACACACACACACACACACACACTCACACTCACACACACACACACACACCACACACACACACACTCACACACACACACACACACACACTCTCACTCTCACTCACTCTCGCTCACAATTCCAATTCCCTTCCCCCCCCCCCATTCCTTTGACTTAAGATAACTTTAAACTAGCTGTGGATATTTTTTATGAATGTGTCTGAAAAATATTTAAAACTCCTCAAAGGATGCACACAAAGTTGTTCATGTTGATAGAAATGGAAGAAGCTCACTTGTGAATTAAGTATATGATTCAGTATATAATGTCTGAATTAACGAAAAACAAATTATCACTTAGTCATGGTGCATATCTCTTGTGATAATATTAAGTTTAGAGATGCTTTCTTGACCTTGTATAAAAATATAACTATGTATATAATTTGAAACTTTCCCTCAATGAGTAGATCAAGCGAAGCTGAAATGACCTTCTCATATACTCAATAGCTGTGCGCATGAACAACCGCTCTGAAAGCCCCGTGTTAAAAGGTATAATATGAGATCAAGAGACACGTAGTAAATGTAATAGCTACTTGTATTCACAGGTGACTTCCCAGATATCTAGCCTGTAGACTACGCTTAAACATACCACCGTTTTCATGTGACAAATGTTTCTTCGCAGTGAGCTATTTTTAGCAACCGACCAATCGACTAGTCATGTCCCATAAGGTTGGGGATCCCGAGGACAGGTTGTTGGATATAAGATACCTCGAGGTTTATGTTGAAGCTTAAATATTACCATAAGAACGTGTAGATGTCTGTAAATTTGCCTTGACAATCTGTGCAGAGGAAATTGGACTTTCCTAGAATCGGATGTGTACTGAAGTTAGATGACTCGATGTGGAGTAGATCTGCAGGTGTTGTAAACAACCACAACAGGATATGTGCGGAGAAGATTGAGTTACGGAAATTCAGAAAGATTTTGACTACCTTTCCATGTTGCGTATTTGTAACCTGGTTTTTGTGGATAGATGTGTATGACTTGTAAACATGGACTGCTCACCTGTTTTAATACTCACCAGTCAGAATCATAGGCTGTTTGTGAATCTGTAATTGCTTGTGTGGGATTGGGTCTTGGTAGTAGCATGAACTGTCTGCAAATTTGGAGCAGCAGACGGTGTGTGGAGTTTGTAGACATTGGAGCAGACGGCACTTTGATTTCTGCCACATGTTGTGTTCTGGTGTGTTAGATGAAGTGGATGTCGGACTGTTTCTGTGGATGTGCAGTGACAGATATATGTCGCTATCATGATTCACCAGGGACAAGATTAGGAGTTATTGCTGCATTAATACTGCGTGGACTTTCTTGCGTCAGATGGCCTCAAAATCATTGGTAAGATTGGATGTAAACATGGTACCATATCGTGATGAATATATGAACTGGTTGAATAAGTAATTATTCAGGAATTTAGGGTATGAATATTATGGATGTGTTGATGTAGTTCTGAGTGCATTTCAGTGAGTGAAAATGCACCTTTCGACAATTAATTTCAAAGGCTTAGTACGCAAACTGTACCCATTTGGGAATTAAAATGGCATCCTTATTAGGATGTATAAACACATTAACCAAAATAGCTCCAAAATGTAATTACCTCCCTTTGTTTTTTTTTAAAAAAAAGGGTGTTTGATAATCATTAATTTTGTCATCTATTCACAGTTTATTTGTCCATTTATTGGACATAAAAAGGAATTTGATTCATTTTTTTATTATTATGCAGTTTAATTATCAAATTCGGATGTGAAGTATGACTTCAAGCTTGGAAACTATATGCACATAATTATTTATAAAATGCTCCATGGCATATTTGTTTTTGACACTATGACCAAATTATTCTAAGATTGGTTGTGATCTATTATGATATATCACAACAAATAGAATAATTCATATTTCTGGAGAAAATATGTTCACAACAGCAAAAGGACAACGGAAAAAGATCAGTTTGACCTTTTGTTTCAAAAGCCTCACTTGTTGTCCTGAAGATGTGACCCAGAATGTGTGTGTTTTGCTGCTTGTATTACGCATCTCATTTAGGGATGGCAATACCTTCATCGCCAGGTAACTATCAAGAAGAGATAGTCGCCCTGTTGATTCAAACAATCAACAGGGCATGGCGATCACCTTAATAGTCGTTGGTCTGGACACATATTCAAGGTATTGATGAATGGGACTTAATAACGTGTCATGCAGAAACTTCATTTTTCTTTATGTGAAGTTTTCTGAAATTTGGTTATAGTAAGCTGAATACTTGCCAAATGGATCAAGGCTTCTCACAGAAACGTTGGTTATAAATAGCAATTAGTGAGATAGCACCTTGCCTGTGGGTAGTGAGATAGGAAATTGGGTTATCGAAGTAAAGAAATAAACTTTCTTTGATTAGATATCTGTGACTTGAATGTTTCCAGTTTTAATATCAGATGATAAGTTTGATTGGTTTCTTCATTTCCAGAAAATTAGAAATCAAAAGATTTTAGATTCTGTTTACTCAGTTTGAAAGATCATAATTCAAGATGAAATAAGTTTTTATGGTTTATTTACACAAATGTGGATCCTTCTGATATAGCTGGAGTAATGAGAGTGTCATCGGGGTCTTTGTGGTGAGGCTCTTGTTAGTTTTTGAAGATGGTTTGATTATTTAAGGTCAGATAAAATAGTGAGTGAGTGAGTGAGTTGGGTTTAACGCCGCTTTTAACAGTATTCCAGTTATATCACGGCGTGTCAGCTTAATGTGGGAGGAAAGGCAGAAGTGATGCAGGTCTCAGACATTTACCATTTGGGTGAAACCCACGAGCACGGGTATTGTGCTGACAAACCTAGAAACATAATCGGGGAGAACCGGGATTCGAACCCACAATCATAGGTTTCTGGCGTGCCCAAGGGACGCAACTCTGCACAGCGAATCGCGGCGCCTTAGACGACTGGGCCACCCGTGCCCCCAATAGATAAAATAAATAAACCAGGGAAGAAAGAACCAAACCTTGAAAAAGACAAGGGTGGTATATACGAAAGAAGATGAATGCCTACAGAGTCAAACATTAGAAATCTTTTTTGAATATTCAATGGCATGTTCAATCCACTAATAGACAAATCAATGCAGTTTTACCTTACTTCAGATAAGATATTGTATCCAAATTTTGAATTCTTTAGTATAAATATTTGAGTCAGCACAGGTGGCCCAGCGGACTAGGCCCCCACAATATGATATTCTGAACTGTGGTCTTGCACTGCCAGGGGAGTTCAAATCCCAGATTTATCCAGATTATATGATCCGGTGGCTGTCTGTGGTATTCATCTGAAATCTGATATATCCGGCCCACTTGCACAAAGCGATCTTAGCGCTTAGATGATCGTAACTCCCATACTTTAACATAAGCTTACAATAGTTGTGCTAAGATCGCTTTTTGCAAGGAAGCCATGGTGTGCTATCACTAAAGCATCCCTCTCCCTGTGACGATCCAGGTTAGAATTGGTCTTCAGCAACCCATGCTTGTTACATGCTGACTTGGTTGATGCATGTTATATCCCAAGTGCATAGATCTATGCTCATGATGTCAATCACTGGATTGTCTAGTCCAGATGATTATTTACCTTCCTCCGTCATATAGCTAGAATATGACTTAAAGCAGCATTATACAACAAACAAACATAAAAATTGGCCAAAACATGTTTAACCCAACTCACTCACTCATACATCTACAGATGAAGCAGGAGACACAGTTAATACCTTTGATGATTTTCAGTTTTGTGCTATCAGGTATAGGGCCCTATGGGTTCTGCAGCAACCTATTTTTGTTGGATGTTCAAGCATGTTGTAGCACTGTGGCTGGGAACAGTGCTCATTATATCGATCACTTGTATGGTAGACCCGAGACCCGTGAAGTTCGGGGGTAGAATAGGTCTTCAGCAGCCCATGCTTACCGTAGAGGGCGACTATGCTTATCCTAAGAGGCGACTAATGGGATCAGGTGGTCAGGCTTGCTGACTTGGTGTTGATGTATGTCATTGTATCCCAATTGGGTGGATTGATGCTCATGATGTCAATCACTGGATTGTCTGGTCCAGACTCAAATATATACAGACCGCCGTCATATAGCTGGAATATTGCTGAGTGCGGCGTTAAACAACAAACAAACAAACAAACAAAACTTGCTTCCCCATATTTGATTATTTACATCCCGCCGTCATACAGTTGGTGTATAGCGTTTATCAGGGAACTTTCAGTTTTGAATAAATTTCACAGCATTTACACAGCATTCGCTCACTATTCAATTGTCCCATGAAGATACAAACGTTCTACCACACTCTTATCACTGCAGTTAAACTTTCATGCAAATATATCAAACAGGTCCCTGTCATCAACGGCTTTTAAATTTATTGCTGTCGTTGCTGGCTGAATATATTATGAAGAACTTCTTCGTCGCTGTCTCCATGCCAGGAATGTTTTGTAACCGTGGACAGCCAAACTATCGTGTACAGACACTGTGTGGAATGTGAACCCCCAACTTTTATTGATAAGGTTTCGATCAATCAGATGCCCACCTGAGCTGTGAATCTCAGTGAACAAGAAGTACAATGGCTATGATAAGCCCTGGATTTCAAGTAGATAAGAATTTCAAGTGTGTTAGTCCACTTTTTGCCACAGTTTTGTACTGGTAGGCATTTTAAAGATGTCTGACTTATTTATGACAAGTTGACTTGGGTGAAGTTTTCTCCCAACTTAAGACGATTTGTCGTGATGCTTGTGATTTTCTTGGCTGTTTCATTAAGTTTATTCGTACACATGGATGGATTTTAATGTGTTATTATTATTAATATTATGCTGTTTCTATGCATAATTTAGAATGAGTCATTGCCTATTCAATAGTTGTTGCCTTTTATGACATGTAACACCATTGAAATTCAGTTTATATTTTTTCAACAGCTGACGTCAGGGAATAGATTTTATGAACAAGATGTTTAAGTTACAGCATTTATTCAAATTAAGGTCACTACCCTTTCATTCATTTCATATGATTGAATATACCGTATTTCATCTATTAGACGCCCGGGCTTCTATTTATTTTCGGACAAGCCTTTGACCTGGCGTCAATTAGAGGCCCGTCTTCTATTAATACCCCCATTTCACTATGAAAGGGATCATTAATTGTATCAATTGATCAACCCGGCTTCTATTTTTTGCACTGAACAATTGACCCGGCTTCTATTAGAGGCCCGGTGTCTAATAGAGGAAATACAGTATATGTCAGCTAGCAGAAATGGCAATTCACTGTATTAGAACACCTGTGAGTTGGAATTCATTATATTTGAAGGAGAGGCGTTAGGGTGGCCGAGTGGTTGAAGTGTTTGTTCGTCTTATGTTCAACTCCCAACATGGTAACAATGCTTGAAGCTCATTATTGGTTCTTCTACTGAAAAATTGCTTAAGGGGGCGTAATAACTCGATCATTCACACTCACATACTTTGAAAGAAACTATTCTATCTTGCAACACAACAGTCTTTCATTTTAGCTTTTCTATAGAATCAAATACGGTTTGGGTGGCTTAGTCATGTAAGACACCACGATTCACTGTGCAGAGTTGCGTCCCTTGGGCACGCCAGAAACCTATGATTGTGGGTCCGAACCCTGGTTCGCCCCGATTATGTTTCTAGGTTTGTCAGCACCATACCCGTGCTCGTGGGTTTCACTGAAGTGGTAAACGTCTGAGACCTGCATCACTTCAGGCTTTCCCCCCACATTAAGCTGACACGGCGGGATACAACTGGAATAATGTTTAAAGAGGCGTAAAAACCCAACTCACTCACTCTACATTTTCAGCACCTTACCCCTTACCTGAACTGGTAGGTTTCACCAATGTCATAGACCTGGAATACTCTTATGACAAGCATAGTCGCCTTTGATGGCAAGTATGGGTTGCTGAAGACCTATTCTACCCCGGATCTTCACGGGTCATATACACAAGTACAACCAGATAAAGTGTGCTTGTTTCTACATCAATAAATATACATAGTTACCATAAAAAATGAATCTAGATGAGTGCATCTATTATGTACCTGTTGCCATGGAAATTAATCTGGTGACAAATATATGGTGTGTTTGGCTCTGTGATAGCTCATGCTCATCAAACCAGAGCCATTAACATGTAACTCTTCAGTATGCTGAGACTGGGGGTAATGTACCTGTATTGAAACCATTGGCAATCAACTGGAAAGCTTCAAAGAATCTGTAGAAAGGTGTATGACCTTTGGGAGACCAATATTGAGTGTCTACATAAACGCAACTGACCATGCAAGATGGTGTCCAGTCAAGCAGGAGTGCTTTTGTGGTCACCTATGT